TGGCTGCCGCGGCTGGCGCGCTGTGGCCAGCGCACCGTGCTGATCCGATGGCAGGAGCATGTACTTATCCTGGTCTCCCATGGGGTGCAGGGCCCAAGCACTTGGGCCATCTTCCACTGCACTCCCTGGCCACAGCAGAGAGCTGGCCTGGAAGAGGGGCAACCAGGACAGAATCCGGTGCCCCAACTGGGACTAGAACCCGGTGTGCCGGCACCGCAAGGCAGAGGACTAGTGAGCTGTGGCGCCGGCCTAGGCTGACTTATAAAAGGGATCTTAGCAACTGCAGATTTTGGTGTCTGAGGTGTTCCTGATCCAGTGCCCCATGGACACGATGATTCTAAAACGTGGATCAGCCTTCAAAGACTTTAGTCTAGGAACAGGGTCCAGAAGTCCCAAACACATGTAGGTACAAAAAGAGGAGTACATATAAGACTTGACAGGAGGCTAAAAGGAGGTGATTCTTTCTGCTTATGGCCTGGACTGATGACAGGAATATGATGAACAGCCATTGGTATAGCACTCACTTTGTGCTGTGTACCACAAGTTCTATGCAGAGTGTTGGGGGGTCTCTCACATGGTGTGTACTCCATACACATTAGCAGGTACCACCTTCTCAGCATGCTTGGAGGTGAGTATTGTTATCCAGGCTTTCCAAGTGGCAGAGCTGAGTGGGAAGGCTAAGGAACTTGCCCTGCTGGAGCCAGGACTGCAGCGCAACTGGAATCCAAAGTTCACACATCTAAGCAGTGCTTAGGTGGGCCTGCTTCCCTTCCCTAACCCCATGTAACTTTAGCCCTTGGATGCCAGAATCATGCCCTTAGACCAGGGGCCTCAGGTGACCCCATGGCCACTCTGTGCCCCTGATACAGTTCCTCAGCTCCCAGCATCCAGAGAGGCAGATGCCATGGCTTCTTTCTATTAAGTTGAATCATGTGAAGCTGCCAATATTTGACCTTTTTGGATTTATGAAATGGCAATTCCATGTGATTCAACCCAATACAAGGAATCAGATGAATTGTGGGCAATCCAGCTCCTTCAGCTCTGTTTTTCTGTGAGAATCAGGACCTTCAGACAATCCCACATCTTCCTGTTGGGGGACTGAGAGCAAGATATGGCAAAGCGACAGAGTGCCCTGGTGATGGCTTTTCTTCCAGTGAACCAGACCCAGTGACTCAGGGTAAAGAACACAGTGAAGCCCCTCTCTCATTTTTGTTCCTGGTGACCCTGTAAAGAACAACTGTGTGCCCTGTAGAGAATCCATTCAATGACAGCATCGGCTCTGGTCTCCGTCCCCTTCTCGCAGGTCTGATGCACAGCACCCAGACCCAAAGATAGCAGTCAGCTCTGATTTCCTTTTTAAACCAAGGAGGTTAAAAGCTCCTGAGACCAACATGAAAGACAAGCCTTTCTGAGTGGAGAGGGCTGATTTTGGAGAAAAAAAAAATGAAAGTATTTGCGTGTGGAGGAATTTTCCACATGTGGACCATAAATTCCCATATCCTGCTTTGGGCCAAAGTTGGACTTTCCCAGAATTGGTCAGACATTCCCTGGGTGGCCTCAAGCATACTTTGTTGTGCCGGTCAGTCCTGATTGACCTCCTGGCTAGGCATCCTGGGAATTTTCCCGGTATGCTTTGTGGCAGAGGATCCTGGCTTGGTCGGGTTATTATACTTTAATCCAAATTGAAGCCTTGCTGTTCAACAGATCTCCTTTAACTTCTTACCATCTCCTTAGAAATCTGTCTTTTGAGACATGCTGTTCCCTGCTTCTCTTCTGGATGATGGAGCAGAGAATTTCCACCGAGGGACATGGGCTTCATTTCCACTGTGGATCCCACCTCTGTGGTCTACCTGGGGACCTAACTGCCCCAGCTATTTCCTCTTCTCTCTACCTTCAGTTTCTTCTAACTCCTCTCTTTCAGATTTAAATGTGCTAGTATTCCACCTCTTAAAGTAAAGGAAACCAAAATTCTTTTTGTCTATCTTCTGCCTCCCTCTGGCTACCATTCCCTTGCCTTGACTTCTCAATCTTCATGAATAAGTTGATTATGCATAATGTCTGCACTTCTTTAACTTTTATTCAATTGTGTTCCATACAGTGAGCTGGCTTCTATCTCTGCTTCTGTGTAACTGCCCTTGGTGGGTCAATAGTGGCCTCTGTGTTTCTTAAACCAACCTCTTGGCAGTAATTGGCTTCTCTACCCTTGTTTTTAAACATAGTTCCCTTTCCTCTTCTACTTTCCTTTTGCCTTTGCAGGCTGTTACTCCTTGGCCCTAATGTTGGTTGTCCTCAGTACTCTAGTAGATTGTCCTGACTCTACATTCTTTTCAAAGGTGAACTAAACATCCCGTCACATACATGACTATTTATGTATAATGATTCCCAATTTACTACCTGCACTTCTGGTGGGACTCCTGGCTCTCAGTCCATATTTCCAGCCATGTGTGGGATATTTCTCTTAAGAGGGTCACACACCTTACACTCAACATCATCAAATTGAAGTCATAAACTTCTCCTTCCCAATTAGTTGTGCCCCCCTACCTGAGGTGGCAATGTCCACTGGTTGCCAGATTCAGAAATCTAAGATGGGGGCCAATGTTGTGGTGCAGAGGGTTAGGCTGCTGCCGGCACTTCCAGCATCCCATATGAGTGCCAGTTTGAGTCCTGGCTGCTCCACTTCCAATCCAGCTCTCTGTCAGTATGCCTAGGAAAGCAGAAAAAGATGGCCCCAAGTACTTGGACCCCTGCACTGAAGTGGGAGACCCAAATGGAGTTACTGGCTCCTGGCTTCACCCTGGCCCATCTGCAGCTATTGTGGCCATTTGGGGAGTAAGTCAATGGATGGAGGCTCGTGCCCTCCTCCCTCCCTCCCTCCCTCTGACCCTCTCTCCCTCTCTCTCTCTCACTCTCCCTCTTTTTCTCCCTCTCCTTCTCTTCCTGTAGCTCTGTCTTTCAAGTAAATAGATGAATTCTTAAAAAAAGAAATCTAAGAGGAATCCTTGACTTTTTATTTTTATTCCTAATGGCTAATCAGTCTTCAAGTCCTATAATTCTCGCCTGAAATCTCCTTAAATCTGTATTTTCACATGTGCAGCACGTTCTATTTAACTGAATTCCACTCTGTCCTGTGCTTCTTCAGTCCATTCTTCAATGGACTAAGCATGGTCTTTACCTTCAATGGGTCCTTATTACACTTGAAATGTTGACCTAACTTCTGAATCTGTCTGATAAAATCATACATGATTTGGCTGATTTTTTACATTCTGCCTCTTCCATTGCACTCATAGCCATCCTAATTTCTTCTGAATCTCCTATGTCTTACATTTCATGCGTATTATTTCTTTCCTCTCTAGATCATTTCATGGACTGATTCTTAGAGCTAAACTCAACAAGTCAAGGGTTAAAGAAACAGGAGTTTCATATGTAGCTTTATCATTATTCTATAATGAGAAATAGGTTTGATAACAGCAATTAGAATTTATCCTAAACCTTTGTTCTAAGAACAAATTACAGTTTCCACTTTTGCTGGAACTAATTGTAGCATTCTTCTATTACTTGAATTGAGAAGTAGATTGTCCTTGACTAAGAATATCTCCACAGAATTTTTACTTGAACTTCTATTTTATGTGTGTGTGTGTTTCCAGCACTTTTATCTTTAGGGTTTTGAATATTTAGTAAACATGGCCTAAAAGATTCTTCATACTGATTTGGCTTTAATTTATGCATAAGAAGACACTATTTGATTTACTCTTTACAACTTAATTAGCTTTCCTAGTAATGATCTCAGAGGGAGGGTTATCAGCCATCATATTTTTTTAAGAGAGAACTTGTAACACAAGATTTAAGGAAGGCTTTTCTTAATACTTCCTGGTTCCAAACATATTCTGGAAGACTTATTTTTTAAGTTAATAGAGCAGGATACGATATTTTAGTTTTTCCAGGGCATATAGTCACACCATATATTGGTCAATGAGAAAATTGTGGTCAGATTTCTCATCTAACAGCTGTGTCTCTGTTCATGAGAAGAGATGGGATACGAGGACTAAGGTTCAGGGGAAGAGGCAGGGTTAGTTTTCATCGTTATAAAGTGGTGATTTTTTTTTTATTATGGGAAAGTTCACAGGTGGCTAGTCTTTCCTGTAGAATAATAAATAAAGTAATCATAGGTAGTGTGGTGTCTTCAAAAAACAGTTTAGAGCAGGAGGCATTGCTGGAGATAGCATGGGATGCTTGGCACCTGGCTTCTGCTTTTGAAATTCAGACACATTATTTCTTATAATTCTTTCTTTTTTTCCTGCCCCCACTTTTCCTTTACTATTGTTAATTGGGTACTTACCATTCTTTTATAATATCTCATTTGCTTTTCACATGAAGTATGATTGAGTTGGAGTTTGTGGACTCAAGAGGCTTCCATGGCCTTGGCAGCTCATTACAGGAGTGATTACTGGCGTCATAAATAAGAATGTCAATTGTTAAATCAATAACAGGAGTCACTGTGCAACTACTCCCCATGTAGGGCCTCTGTCCTTAATATGTTGTACTATGAGAATTAATGGTAAAACTAGTCTTCAAACAGTAGTTTATATTTTGTGTATCTGTGTGGGTGCAAACTGTTGAAATCTTTACTTAGTATAGAGTTGATCTTCTGTATATAAAGATAATTAAAAATGAATCTTAATGAGGAATGGGATGGGAAAGGGAGTAGGAGGTGGAATAATTTGGGGGTGGGAGGGCGGGTATGAGGTGAAGTACTGCTATAATCCAAAAGTTGTACTTATGAAATTTATATTTATTAAATAAAAGTTTTCTATTAAAAAAAGGAAAAAAAAGAAGTGTGGTTGAACAAGGAAATCAAAGCTCATAGAGGTAAAGTGACTTTCCGTGGGTCTGGCAGAGGGACTAGGTAGAGCCGGAACTCAGCCCAGGTCTCTCCATTTGACCTCTCAACAACCATGTCGTATTGCTTCCTCACTAAACTTTCTTCTGTTCTGTGTCCCCAGGGACAGGATGAGAACATCAGTCAATGTCGTGGGTGACTCTTTTGGGGCTGGGATTGTCTATCACCTCTCCAAGTCTGAATTGGATACCATTGACTCCCAACACCGAGTGCATGAAGATATTGAAATGACCAAGACCCAGTCCATTTATGATGATATGAAGAATCACAGGGAAAGCAACTCTAATCAGTGTGTCTATGCTGCACACAACTCTGTCATAGTAGATGAGTGCAAGGTACCTTTCCCATTCCTGGATATCGAGACCTGTATTTAGTAGTGCATGCTTGATTTCTTTAAAGAAACAACACAAAGCCCTGCATCCATTATTGTTGCATTTATTTTTCTAAAGAATCATGTAACCCAAGCTTCTGTGAGTCCCATATCATCTAACTGAGTCTAACAAGTTGGGAAATCAATAGGTCTAACATTGAAGAGCCAATCAGTTGCTTGTTTTGTTCATGTGAACTATAACAGCTGTTGCGATTCCCCATCTACCCTCATGCCACTAATTTAATAGGTTTTCTCAAATATTTTCCCCAAGAACTTATGTTTTCTGGAATTTTCTTGGCCTTCAAATATTGTATTCCTCAATGAAACATCAATGGAGATTTCCAGCATCATTTTATTTGCATAACAAGAGTATACCTCCTTGCTGCATATCATATATTGGAAAACATGTGCCCACATAATTCTATGCAGCTATATTTTTCTCCGTTATTTTTGTGAGAAGACTGAGTTTTGACCTGAAAGTCACTTTGCTCCAAAAATGTGGAAGCGTCATAGTAAAGAGTAACTATGCTTCAGAGCAATTACTCAGAGATGTCTTTTGAAAAGCATGACATCTCACATACTTCCTGGTAGTGCTACCTTTCCTGTAGCATAGATGTTCTGGGATCCCCTACAAGCAATTGGGTGCCATGTCTTCAGGCTTGATGGGCTCTGTATAGCCTTCATGTTAATTAATTTGACATTGTCAAAGACAGCATCATGACCAGAGTGGAGCAAACTTGGAGAAACCCTGGCAGGTGAGCAGAGTCAATGTTGGGAGTTGGTTAGTTAAGAGGTTACCACATAGCAGCTGAGGATATTCTGGACCTAACACAGATCTCTGTTACCTTTGTCATTCCTGCTAAGAATGTCACTTTTAATCATTACTTTCTTCCTGTGTTGCTTCTGAGTCATCCTTAGTACACACTGAGGCTTCTGGCAAGCAATTAACAGTGGCACAGATGCAATGCTCCTTATGTGACTGTAATGTAAGTCTAGAATGCTAGTGGACCAGCCACTGTCTTTTGCTCATCCCCTCTACAGCAGGTGCACGTGTGGGTTAGCCAGAGCTCTCACATGGACTACTGAGGGAACCTACTCATTAGAGGCAATTGCAAAAATCAATGAATTGATTCAGTGAAAATGATTCAAATATTTAGAAATTCAGAGTAAATGTGCTAGATTATACTCCATCAAAATATTAGCATTCTCATGGAACTGCTTTATGTACTATTGTGTTCAACAAGTACTTATTGTGTGCCTTAAAAGATTTACTTGATTGGTCCAGTCTCTTCTTATGTGTCCTATATTTTGAGCATTCATCAAGTGTTTATTGAGCATCTATCACCACAAAGCCCTGATCAGGCATGAGAGGACAAGGTGTTAGTACAGATAAAACTTGGTCTCAAAATATTGCCATACAAGAAAAAAATAGTGCAAAACAAAATGAATTCACCATGTATATATTCTTATCTAATAATTGTATGAAAGAATATTTCTGTGTTTAATTGGCTGTGGCATATCCCTTTTGGAACTTCTCTAGTGTCTTTAATGTTGTACAGGACACACTATAAAAAAGATTTATAAGTACAGAGATATTTCTGGATTTCAGAATTCTTAGATTTTCTTTTCCTGAGGGACATCAAGCATACCAGGAGAAATTTGCTTCATTTTTCAAAGCAAACTATTTTAAACTCTAAAGGAAGATGTGTGTGAAACACCCCTATCCTTAGGAAGAAACCTATGTGGAACAAGACTTTGTCCTCATTTATCATGTGTCCCAGCGGCTAAAACAGTGTCTGGTGTGTTGTAGGTGCTCAGTAAATATTTGTAGAGTGTATCGTTTTAGCATCTTGATCCTATCCTATATGAGTATTTCATATAGTCCAATCCCTTTTTTTTTTTTTTTTTGCTGGATAGTTCCATTGAGATAATTGTTCAATCTTTCCATAAAATCGACCACCCAACCAACCACCTACAGACTCATTGGTTAAATGGCATTTAGATGTTCTGTGATCAGTCTGAGCAGGTCATGAAGATGATGGGCGTGACCTTGTTGGTTAAATAATATATCAGCTGTTTGCATCTTCAAGAAGGCAGTTGAGATCAGCTCAGTGAAGATGAGTTGGTCCTAAGCCTTCACTAGGTCAGGCAAGTTGACTCTTCTCACTCTTGGTCAGTGGATTGTGTTGACACTGGCACGGAAAGAGACATCCAAAGCTGTGGGAGATGAGTTTACATCCTTCCTCACAATATTGGGATCACATTTATTCACTCCTTTCTACTCCCTTCTGGTCAATTCTAGGTCTAACTCTTTCTCATCTTTTAAAAATTGAAATGGAAGATGTCAATGCTTCCTCTCAATGCCCTTCTCTTTTTGCATTTCTATTACCCAGATGATTGGAGCAGAGGAGTGGCATGGTTTGGGGAGTAGGGTTTGAGATGTCTTTAGCCCATCTGGGAAAGGAAATTCCTAAAACCCTGCTGTCTCAGCTACTTTTGAAACAAAACCCTAAGCATTTACAAACAAGAAACACATTCCCCAAAGGCACCACATCATGACTGATAATTTTGCATCATTGTTCATCTGGTCCATCACTGAATGTCATAGAGAATGAGCAACTTTCTCTAGACAGACTGTCTCTGACAGTCTTTCTTGACTGTTCAATGAAGGGGAAACAAATTTGCTGCAGCTCTGGTCAAAAGTTTAACCATTTCAGGATTATTACGTCATGTTGGCCTCTCTATTTTCAAATTCTTGCCTTGGTGAAAGTAGCTTGAAGTTACACATTAGCTTTTTAATTGTAATCAAAATAACTGCATGTGGAATAGTCATTGCTAATTGCATGATCTTTCTAAAAAGGTTGTGGAGCTAATGGGAATTTTATCTTAATTTGCTTGGTTTGTGAAGGGTACTTGTGTTCCTAGCATGTTGTGTGTTCATGATGCATGCATTTCACTTCCACCTGGGTGAGGAGAAAGTCAGATTTCTTTCCAACATTGCTGCATTGTCATGTCTCCATATTCTAATGCTTCCATAAATCCAGTCTCTCCATTATGTGGAATATCAATCGTGGGTTTAATTTTGCACATGGCGTTGAGGACAGACACACAGAAGGTAAGCTAGGACACTACTTAGAAGTGGAGGGGAGAGCCTCTCCTTCTGTGTAAAGGTTCAGTTCATTTTGAGCCAGAAAGCATCATATAGACAGTCTGGTAATTCTTTTTGATTATTAAATGTCTACATTGAAATCTTGAGATTTATATTGTCACTAATCTCAGGCTTTGAATCTCCCTCTTGTCCTTTTGTGTTTCATTTTGAAAGCCATAGGAGAGTCAGACCATCAAGATTTCTGATTTTTAAGTTGGACATGTGTGAAAGCCACCTGGCCTCATTGTAACTGAACCTTTCACATGCATGAGTAGAACTAGCTGCCAAGTTCTGGAATTTTTTCTCTGTGGTTGTATGGAGTAGCACATGGCCCTCTGTTTTAAGGACTGTGTTATTGTGTGGTGGATTTTGGGTAGTTAGACACCTGCCAACCCTAAACATATAGATGTTGTCCCCCAAAATGCAAAGTGTCTATTACCCTGCAATCCTCTCATGGCATATGTGCTTTTATTTAATTCACAAATCATTATTGAACATCAAGACAGCCTCCAAATCCATTTGGAAGGAATTCCATCTACAGTTACTTTTTCAGTTGTATAGCCTGACTCTGGATCTGGTGCTTCTCCACATAACCTGTGTTTTTTTTGTTTTTGTTTTGTTTTGTTTTTGTTTTTGTTTTTTTCTGGTTCATGGCCTGTAAGCTGGTTGTTGATGATAATTATTTTCAGGTTACTCTGGCAGCCAATGGAAAGTCAGCTGACTGCAGTGTTGAGGAAGAGCCTTGGAAACGTGAAAAATAAGGATATGACTCTCAGCAAATTGTTGAATGAACTCCCCAGCTTATCATGTGGTAAAAGATGATGTAAACAAGCTTTCTTTAAAAAGGAAAAAATGCATATATTTCTATGTTTACTTAATCTGTTAGCTGAGGCTTAGAGGAGCTGTTGTGAGTCAGTGATGACAGGCACGGTGCTGTGTCTTTGCCAAATGATGCTTCGTAACCGTCTAATTCTCTCACTTGTGTTATTGTTTGAATGGATGCTGCTGAAGGAATCCCTTTCAACTGAAGACACGTTCTTATTAGCAGAATTGTGGATGCTCTGCTCCTAGGGGACATGATTAATGCAGTGTAGGTAGCATATTCCAGGGACTTGGGAGAATAAGCAAGCTCATAGTGTGTTATTCCTTCAAGTGTTCTGTGTCTTACCTTTTTATGCACAAGAGATTCTGTTAGAAGCTGCTAGTAGGAACTCCCCTTAAATGTCTTGTAGAGTTTGCACATGTGTTGATTAAATGCAAGTACATGTCTTAGGGAACTATGACAATTTCTCTTATATGAATTCTTTAAGTTCAATGTCTCAAAGAGAGTCTTAGTGGGACGTGCACTCTTATAGGCTGTTGGATACGGCATCCAATGCATCTTGCCCTATCTGATATAGCCTATGTGAACAATGATTGAAATTTCTAACTATGTCTCATAATTCTCTCTAAATTTTATAATGGATTAAAGAGTCTTTTATCTATAGCCAACATATACAGTGGCAAAAATAAGGGCACGTAATCAATCCAAATTTTAACCAGATTTAAATATTCAAATTTGTTTACATTTGGTTCACACTCATCTGTCACAGTGAAATCAAGTAAGATTGTTTGATCTGTTTTACTTTCTTTGTTTCACCCATAAGCTTCTTATTTAGGTTTCTAACCTTAAAAAAGCATTTTTAATTCCCAAGTTCTTCCAGCTGTATTCTCATCAACCTGGAAGGCCTGATCATTTTACCCTCCTGACACGCAGAGCGGACTTGTATTGGCTATGCCTCTTTTAATTCCAGGTCTTGATAAAACAACAAAAAAGTAATTAATATGTAGAAAGCTATTTGTTATATTGTATTAAAGCACATAAAATCAGTTACAGAACTTGGTTGGAAGAAGAGCCAGCCTTTCTCCCCAGTCTTCTCTTTGGAAAGGAACAGAAAACATCTGTGTAAAATCCTATAAAGGTGACGTTCCCATGGCAGAATCCAGACAGCCTGGAACCATAAAGTAGGAACAAAGAATGGCTCTACACAACTTCACAGATGGAGCTTTTCTCAAGGCTGTGAAAATCAGAAGGGATAAAAAATATAATTGGCATAGCACAGTGCCTTACCTATGGTAGGCAGCCAAGGATCCTTAGTGATTAGTTATGCAAACTAATTTTTTAATGTCTTTGCTATTATTTCCTATTAAATAAGCCACAGTATTTTACTAAGGTTGCTGGGTTTGGGAGTTGGATTGAGACTTGAAACATTGAGAAATAAAGCCTAGCTGACTCTAAACAATATGTAGAACCTTGGCCCACTGGTGGGGCCAGGGTATATCATCCGAGACCAGCAGAGGGATGTTGGGATATTCATAAATAGCTATAGAATCCACATTCTCTAAAGATAGGGTATTGACAGACATCATTATCCTGTGTTACCTACTCCTTGTGTCTTCTGTCTTCCAACTCAGACGCCTTTGGAATATACAAAATAGGAGATTTCACTTACTTCTGTCTCTTAAACCCTATCCACTTTTTGATCAAACTCTCTGTTGAGCAGTGTTAAGCAGCATTTTTGCTTTTTTTAAAAAAATATATTGGGCTTTGTTTTCATTAGATAGGTCATCAGCAGGGTGGCCAAGGACATAGTAATGGAAAATGCATCTTATAGCAGATGTGGGCCAAGAAGACAGTTCTGGGGGTTAGCTGTGAAACTGTTAAGATTGTCATTAAGTAGTACCCAAGAGCTTTTCTACAGTGAGTAGAAGGATCTAGGCAAGACATTTGAGAGCTTGTTGCTTTTTGCTGTGGAAGGCCAACTTGGCACCTGCATACACTGACATTATCCTCAAAGAAGTAATCATAGAATTGTCTTATCAAGACTCTGCCTAAAAGGTTTTCTGCTTTTGTTGTGTTTTTAGCTTTTTCCTAGCTATCCTGTTAGCCTATAAATATGTGAGGGGACAGTGTGTTCAGAAAGGACAAGGTACATAGTTTAGCAAAGCAGGTTTTTCTGGTTTCAGACTGTATGAAGTAAGTCTCCTGAGAGTATACTTAGAAAATCACATTTACCTGGAAAATCAATAAATAATATTAAAAATAAGAAATTTATCAAATTCAGGACCAGCCTGAAAATCCAGGATGTATGTAGAGTTGACATGCGACTGTGTCCTCTGGTTTGTTTAGGCCTTCTTCATTCTTCCTATGCCATGCCCATTAGAGATTTCCTTGTCCAGTATATGTGCCATAAACAGAAAAAAAAATGGATCTAGAAAATATCTCCAACAACTTTTATTTAAATAAAATCCACAGAGCCCATCAGTTACGTGTAGCTTGATCCTAATAGACCCAACATTGATATGAATGCTTCAAATAGTCTGTGGTTATTTGATGATGTATGAATGTTCTATTTATATACAAGAGAGCATGGCAGGTACATACACTACATTTGATAAAATTTGTAAGTCATAATATTTTTAAAAGATTTATTTTATTTATTTGAAAGAGTTACAGAGAGAGGTAGAGCCAGAGAGAGAGAGAGTTCTTCCATCTGCTGGTTCACTCCCAAAATGACTGCAGTGGCCAAAGCAGAGCTGATCTGAAGCCAGGAGCCAGGATCTTCTTCTAGGTCTCCCAGATGGGTACAGGGGCCCAAACACTTGGGCCATCTTTTACTGTTTTCCCAGGTACATAAGCAGGGAGCTGGATTGGAAGTGGAGCAGCCGGGACATGAACCGGGACCTATATGGGATTCCAATGCTACAACCTGGGGCTTTAACCCACTGCGCCACAGTGCCAGCCCCTATAAGTCATAATTTTGACAACACCATTTTGTTACAAGCCCATTCACTGTTTCTAAGATTCAGAATCATTTCAGGAGAAAACCAACAAAATAGGCTTTAGTTCTTCCATGTCTTATTCTTTCCCCTTGGGAAAGCCAAGTGGAATCATCATTTAATTACTTACTAAAATTCAACAGATCCAGTTCAGTACATGAGAAGAATGACTTATCTCTAAAGGTAATGTTGGCTCTTTGAGCTGTGCTTCCCATACAAAGAGTGCCAGAGAACTAAGGAACTCACTGAGATCAACGGACATTCCACATAGGACTTTGGGTGAAGAGATCCAAACTAAGCAGCCATTAGATTCAATTTTTTACTTCTTACTGGGTGTAGAAATACAGCCTGTGGTCTCATTGCCTGAAGAGGATACCATGACCTATAAAAGACAAATAGGAATTCTCCTCTCCTACCACTAATCAGCCTGTGTAATCCAAAAAGCTTAAAAAAGGCTGCCCAAATGGGTAGCTCCTGGGTTTAGATTTGTGGAAGCTAAGAAAGGCTTAGTGAAGATTCAGTTCATGGGGAGATTCCTTGTAGATGAATCTCCAGGACTAGTTGATTAGAGGGTCTCAGGTCATTTCCACTCATGCATGGAGAGCTATATCATTTGTAAGTGTGTCTAGTCAAGAAATCCTTTCAGAGTGCGATTGTAGGAAAACTCACCTACTGAGTCTCCAGAAGAAACCCAATTGTGCCATGTCTTTGGAAATGCACTTCCCTTGACTCTCGATTACAAAAATTATTTTGAAATTGTTTTTTTACTTTTATCAGAATCAAGGCCTCTGCTTGAGCACTACTTTCCCACCAGTCCAGCAGTAAATCCAAGTAGCTACACACAGGCTCCGAGATAATTCTCCACAGTTTTGACTCTTGGAAAACAAGTCTTGGCAGTTCTTAACCTGGTTTGACGACTCAGTGTGCACAGCAGATACACCCCAGGAGAGAGGTGTATCTTCCCACTTAACTGCTTGTGCATTCTCATAGCCATCCAGTTGTCTGGGTTGCTAGTTTTATTTTACTTATTCTCCAACTGAACTCATTCTGAGCCAAAAAAAAGGGACCAAGTGGGATTTTCAGTTATTGTAATACTTGCTCTTGGAATAAGGTTACTAGGGCCTAGGAGGCATAAGAAGATTAGGTTAAATCAAAGGGCCTGGAAGAATTTTGAAGTGTGAGTTTTGTAAGTCTCATTGTCAGAGATTAAGGCTCTCAGTATCCTTAGTAAATTCTGGCTACACCTAAAGGAAGGATCACGGGGTGCTGACCCAGGCATGTGGCACTAGAGACAGGTTGTTCTCCTTGGGTGGGGTACATTCAAAGCTGCTCATGAAACATTTTCTTACGATTTTCCCTAAAGGAAAACTCATCTTTCCTCTCTTTCTTCTCTTTTCCTTTTATTCTACTTATTGTTGCAGCTTAAGAGAAACTTTAGCAAACCATACTACAAATTCATGCAAAGGTTGGTTTTACAACAAATAACAGAGGATCTTAATTGAATAGGATCTAATCGCCTAGCATAGCACAACTAATTCAGGCAGTGACATAGAGAGGAGGAGAAACAATGATTTCCTAGAGAAAACTTTTGCCATAGACTCTTATGTTTTGAGCTGTACAATGTACACAAGTCACTTTATGTTCCATATGAGAAGCGAAGGAGTTGATTAAATGCCTAAAACCCCTTTCTAGCTCTACAAATCCATGATATTATGAGATCTGCTTTAATTTCTTCCATTTTAAGAGGCTTACTACTCTAAAATATCACGTATTTGTATTTTAATCCAGAAGACCCCATCACAGTAACACATAATCGATTTTACACATAATCGATTTACATGTTCTGCATCCCCTTTTGGGTGGGTTGGGGGGAATTCAGCTCAAGCCTCTGTTCATTTGGTGTTTCACACAAGCTCGGAAGGCAGCCATGCAGCTCACACTTGGTGTTTTGGAACACCGACAAGCATCCTTTCATGAAAGTTCCCCTCACCTAAACTCACCGTCCTCCTACAAGTAGGGATTCAGCTCAGGGAAAAATGCTGCCAGAATCACCCCGAGGGGACTGGATGATTCTGCAGCCTCACTCAAGCTCTTGCATCATTCCTGCTGTAGCAACAGAGCCCACTCCGAATACCCAAACCACATCATTTTCTCCAAACGGTCCTAATTGCCAACCCAGTATGGGAATTTGGGAGCGTTTGGCAAATACACTTGAATATTCTTATGAAATTCAGTGCAAGACTTGCACAATCACAGCAACTGCCTGTAAATACCTTCCTTCCTCTGCCTGCCTGCAGATACACACATCCATTCACAGGTAAAGTGGACTGAGTCCTTTCTCTGGAGGGATAGGCAGGGCTATTTGATTGAATTCATTTTCAGATTTTCCTCTTGGTTTGTTTTTATCACGGGCTTCACAACACAGGTAGAGAAACTCCAGCACACAGTAACAGAGTTTTGTTGGCTGCTGTTGCCCTTGGCAGTGCTGCAGAGTTTCTGGGGTGAATGGGATCCAGTGCATGGTCCACCAGGTGCACATTACCAGCCATGACCTTTAAATGACCCCTTACACTTGCTGACACTGCTGCAATGGGCCATTGCTTGGAGCTTTGCTTTTTGCCGAAACCTCTGCTAATACAGAGTAGAGTTGGTATACCTTGTGTTGTAAGCACCTCTATTGCCATGGGAGACTTCAGCTCTTTAGATTTGGGAGAACAAATTGTAAAGCTAGGGCTAAAAAGATTGGGTTTCTTTTTGCTTGTCTGTTTTTCCTGCTAGTGCACAAGACCGGTTGCAAGAGCAGCCAGATAAACACAACTGCTTAACTGATCCATGTAAGAACCTAGGGGAAAGTGAGAGTAGCCCCGAAGTTCCTGTTTCTTTCACTCTAAGTAACATCCTGAATCATTTCTGAACAGTTCTTCTCCCACGTGCAGCCTTGCTTCGTCTTCAACTTCTGGGCCAAGTCTCCATTTTGAGATTTTAGGGAGTTCTCCTGGGTGTCATGCAGGGCCCTTTGGGATTGAGAAGAAAACCTATGCGTGGGACAGACTGGCTGCTTTGCAGAGTCAGCACTTGACCTAGTAAGCAGGTAGCAACAGGTGCCTGGTTTCTCTGAAGACACTCCCAACCCCAGGTGAGTGTTGGAAACCAACAACCACCTCTTACCTGTGTCATCACCCCATGGAGACAAGGACCATGCAGTGGGGCCCTGTTGCTTCTGGGGGTCTCCATGTGTTCCCCGGGCAACCATGTAGCCTGCCTGGAAACAGCCTGTTACCTTTGCTGGGGGACAGATAACACACTTGCTATGAAGGTGGGTCCAGCACATCTCCAAGTTTCTCCCCACGAAGCAAATTCTCTGCGAGACAGGATCAGAAAGCTGGCTCTCTGGTAGCTTGATACTCTGGGAGAGTTACTTTCCTTCTAAGAAGTCACCCTTGGCTTTCAGATTTTTCTACAAATCACCTTAACTCCTTTCCCTCCTCCTTCCCCTGGAAAAACCTCAGCATTGCATCTCCTTGTTGCACAACACAGATCAGATTGTCTGGTCGCTATAGAGATTTGTATATAAAGAAAAGCCTACTTTTTGAGGATTTTTGTATCTTGTTTTCTATTTGTTTTCTACAAATTGAGGAGAGAGCTGGCAAACTGTGAATCTAAATTTAACCTTGCTGCCAGCAGATACAGTTTCGGCTTCCAGGTAAGAATCAATATCACCAGGGGCAGTATCTTGCCCTCTGATCAGTGTTGCATCTCAAATCCACAAATACCTACAGCCCAATATGACATTACTTTTTAGACAAAGCTCCATGTTTCTTTACTATGATTTATAAAAAGCATGATAAAATGTATTTATAGTCCTGGGTATTACATGATTCATGTTAATTTAGCCTTTAATAATGTTATAGGTTTGTATCTATTTTTCAGAAATCAGCAAGAACTCAGTGTACACTGAATTCACCTATTTACTATCTGTGATTTTGCAGACAGATATTTTCTTACGGTATTTTCTATATAGCCACATATGTAGAATCATAACTAATTAGAGCACAGGGAATTTCTACAACAATTTCACTGTATCACATGTTTCCTGAGCACATTACTGCATTTGGAAAAAAAAAAACCCTAGTTCTAAGTGAACAAAAGGACCATTAAGCATAAGGAATTACTGAAATCCCTTAGATGATTAAGATATACCTCTAAACAATTCATCTTTCAACTCGAGGAATGGTGCTGATTTCTTATTTTTGACACCAGTCCTTGTTTTCCCAGCTGAGCCATTCTAATTTTGTTTTTCTCTGAGATGATCAAAGGCAAAGTAATAAGGATGGGACCCTTGGTGTGCAGGAAGCTCCCATACTTTTCCCAAATGTTTATGTGGACACCAGTTTAGGAAAACTGAGTCACAAACACAGAGGATGGGTGCGAGGAAGTAAATGAAGAGATTTGCTGCAATTAATTCTGGCCCAGCAAAATGGTAGTAAATATCATATTGTTATGTAAATTGAGCACATATTTTTAAAGAAAAAATTATGTTTTTAGTACCAGCTGTGAAGCAATGTTGTATCAGTGAGGGCTGGATACTGGAGCTTAGAAGCTGTGCAGAAGTCTGGGTGCATTCCATCCTCAGGTGAATAACTATCTATGTAACCTTCCCAAAAGGTGAATCAGTAGCCACTGCCAAGGCAAGATATCTTTTCTCCACCAAACACACCTTCTGATGTGTTGGTAGGGCTAGTATTTCTGTCAATTTAAAATGTAGTTGGTTACATAGCAAGTGTCCTGATGTGTATTTGAACCTGCTCCCCATTGAGCAAAAGGATTAGATATGCCCTCAACTGGCAGAGGTTGTATCTGTTTTCAAGTGCAGCTAGCTGTCAAAGCATGAAGTTCTTGTGTGTACACACTGACACTTGGTCCACGCATGAAGAACAGTGCCTATGCACTTTGTGTAGCTATAATGTAGGTATCTGTGTAATTTCAGTGAAATGGTGTATAGATGTATTTTAATTTAATTTAAATGTTATTTTTGGCTATTCATCTAAATGCAGTAGCTATATTGATGGGTGTTTTTGAAAACCCCTCTTTTCCTCCCTAGATAACCTAGCAGTGAGTCATTCCTCCTCTTTCTTGATGTGACATGGGGATGTATATGAGTGAAAGAACTTATCTGTGAATCCTTTGTAATGATGATTGAAAGTCTTATGTATGTCCAGCACCTTTGTAAATACACCATTCAGAGCAGGAATGGGCTGGGTGTGTGTCCTGCTTCTTAGTGAAAAGTCATCGGGCATTTGTACAATCCACAGTGAATGCAACTGTGGAGCTTTTGAGCATCTAGGCTTAGGTAGGTTTAGAATGAGGACATTGATCTGCAGTCCTCCTCAGCTTGCTTGGTGGATTGGACTCAGACAGACAGGTTGTCGGCCTGCTCCTGCGCATGTCAGTATCATGTCCTTAGGGAAGGGTCAGACTCTCTGGTTGCCAAATACTCCTCACGATGCACATGACTTAAAGGTTTTGAATCGCCTTGTCCCCCTTGGCTTCTTGAGTCAGGGTTTGGGAAAAACGTTTGCTGCCTAACTGCCAGGCAGGTGAAACCTCCCCAAAGCACGGTTCTGGCAGTAACTGCACACTTGTCTGTAGAAAGGGAGACCGTTGTAAGCACAGGGAGAGTCCGCGTATGGCTTTGGGGGTGGGAGAGGGGCAAGTGACAGAACACAGATCCCACATATGTGAAGGGAGTATGACCTCCTCTACCTAATATGCTCTGTATGTTTGGAGTAATTGAAGATGAGATTGGCTGATGCAACTGTACACTTGCCGCCAAAACTGTAATTCTGTCTAATTACCACTAGATGCAATTCTATGAGGTCTATAGTTCCTGTAATCCCTTCCTCCTGTCAAGGACAGAGAAGAAATACCCATGTACTGTGGGCAACACTAAGAGTCCCTCTGGTTTCTCAAGAGGAGTGAAGCCTCTGATATCACAGGAGAACACAAAGCACAATGGTTTGAAGTGGCTTCTCCAAATGAATGGAATAAGGAGATACGGTCGACAGGCACATTTTTCCTGGAAAATGTGGCTTCTTCAACTCCTGTCACATTCAGAGTGGAAAACTTACTGAAAGAAAACTAGCCTATAGGCAGGATTCTCTGAAGATTCTTGACTGTCAAGAATGAAAAATAATACTTGTTTCCCTCACATGCACAATCCCATTGGTCTGAAGTCATATAGAATAGAGCACCTATAGAACATAGTGTTGAAGGACTAACAAATGCAAAAAAAGATAAAAATGTCAACTAATTTGGGAGTTGTTTCTTATATATGGTATTAGGAAATGCCTTGTTAGCAAAGCACATTTTGAGTAGTTGAAGTCTTTTGTTTTCACCTTTAGTTTTCTAAGCTTTCTCACAAAGTGGACTGATTTCTGTAACATTTCATGTGTACAATAACTGGATGTTCTTTATATGCTGGAAATAACCTGTGAATACCATATTTCACTAAGTGTTTTAACTTTTGTGTGTATATATCTCTCATCAATAAATGTCGATTTGAATTTCTCTTGGTTGTGGTCTCTTCTTCAGTGTCCATTTTAGACTATTGTTGATGACATAGTAATGATCTCCAGTGTTACTTTTGGGTAAATTTACAGATTAAAGGCCGAAATATCCAAATAGATGTTTTCTGGGAATCCTAGGCAATGTGAAGTCACATCTTATGATCTAAAGTTAATGAGCTGGGGCTGGCACTGTGGCATAGTAGGCTAAGCCTCGACCTGCAGCCCCAGGCATCCCATATAGGCACTGGTTCCTGTCCTGGCTGCTGCTCTTCTGATCCAGCTCTCTGCTTATAACCTGGGAAAGCAAAGAAAGATGGCCCAAGTGCTTGGTCCCCTGCACCTGTGTGGGAGATCTTGCAGAAACTCCTGGCTCCTGCCTTTTGCCTTCTGATTAGCCCAGCTCTGGCCATTGTGGCTATTTGAGGAGTGAACCAGCAGATGGAGGACATTTCTCTCTGTCTCTCCCTTTCTTTCTGTAATTCTGCCTCTCAAATAAATAAATAAAATCTTTTTAAAAATAAAGTTAATGAGCTGGATACAAGTAATGTATCATCAATGAATAGTATAGTAGGAACTGGCCCACAACACTCAGAGGCAAAGCACATGTGACATGGCCATCAGCACAGTCTCTACCCCACACTCTCCTTACTCAGGGAGGATGAGGTAGACTCTGTCTCCAAGCATCTTCAGTTACCAATACAAGCAAAAAAGGAAATGCCACGTGATGTACCTCACCCTTGCTCATATGTCAATGGCCAAAACAAGTCATAAAACTCGCCTACTTCAAAGGAGCAGGAAGTGCGACCTTACAGGTACACAGAAGGAAAACTAGAACTAGTTGGTGAAGAGCTCTAATGATGAGTGGGCTGTGAAAAGCCCTTCCATCATTCATAAAGGGCAGTCCACAGACATAAAAGTTATACAATAAGTCAACATAGCACATTTTTCCTCTAGTGTTGGAAAAATTACCATGAAATAAGTAAGTGGCAAGCGTTGAAGGGCGATGTTGTAGGGATAAAAGGCATGATGATATCTCTCTCAAATGAGAGGTGTTTAATCCATCCATTGTGAGAGTCAGTTAAGTTTTCCTTTTAATTACTATTGCAAAAAAAAAAAGAGAGAAAAGGAAAAGAATGAAGGATTCTGGAGGTGAGGGTGGATGGGACAACAGTAGACTGACAGTTATGACACAGGAGTTGGAATCTCCTCTCAGTCATTAGAGGATTATGCACATGTTTTGCAATTATGCATATGCTTTGCAATTTGGAAGTCATATTAGCATATATGAAATTAGGAGTTTTAGGGCTGGTGTGGTGGTGCAGCAGATTTATCCACTGCTTGTGATGCCTGCATCCCATATCGGAGCACTTATTCAAGTCCTAGCTCTGCTTCTGATCCAGCTCCCTGCTAAAGTAACAGGAAAAGCAGCAGAAAATGGCCCAAGTGCTTAGGCCCCTGTCACATTTGTGGGAGACCCAGATGAAGTTCCAGGCTCCTGGCTTTGCCCTGGATCTGCTCCAGCTCTTGCAGCCATTTGGGAAGTGAACCAGCAGATGGGAGATTCTTTCTCTCTCTCTGTCTCTGTCTCTCTCTCTTTCTCTCTCTCTCTCCCTCCCCCCCCTTACCCTCTCAAATAAATGAAACAAATATTTAAAAATAAATAAAATTATGAGTTTGTATTATATCATTTCCAAGCTTCTGAACTATGAAATTTGAATTCTCTTACCCAGGTAAGTCATCATGGCTAAAGATATATTTTTATATCTTATTCTTTTAAACTTACCTATATCTAAATCATAATGCCACTCAACATTCAAACCCACAAACTCATTACCCAGCAGACACATTAGAACACAGCAAATCATATCTCTCTGTCTCTGTTTATCACTTACCCAATGATAACTCCCTTGCTTTCTAGAAGGTAGCTTCATCCCCCACACAACCATGCTAAGCAAGATGTGCTGATTTTTCAGTTTATAAAAATGGGTCCAGCACACACGGAGTCTTTTGAGCATCAACATTGTGTTTCTCAGTCCTTCCATGTTTCAAGTAGTTGTGGTTCATGCATTTCCACTGCCATGTAATATGATCACATGTGGGGAATGTCACGTTTTATCTGCTCATTTTCCCCACAGTGGACGTTTGCCTCTAATCTAGTTGTTTTTCTAAATTAAACAGAGCTGCTGTGAATACTCTTGTCTATGTCTCCTGTGTGTATAACCCAGGAGGCTTTGATGTATGTGCTTTTTAAATGTATTTGGTGTGTGGTGTCTGTGTGTGTGGCTGAAAAGTTTCTGCTCAAGCCTTCTACCCATTTGTCCACTCTGTAGGCTCACATGTGGCCTGCACTTGTAATCCATTCACTGCTGCCTCTGTTATAGAATCTCTCTCTCTAGCATGAGCACTGAACAAGCCAAAACAGACTGTGTTTAGGAGGGGAGTCCAAGGCTAAAAGGTGAAGCCACCTTCCCACAGGTAAGATCTTTGAGCCAGATCTGATGCTAACTACAAAGAGCCCACTTAGTCTTTGATACCTTCTTTGAGCAATAGCGTGTGATGCCCAGCAGGCTCCACCCCAGGTCAGAAACTGTTGGCTGTGAAGTGAACTGCCCTATGGCTGCAGAAGAAACAGGGAGTCACATAAGTCCCCTTTCCCACTCCCCAGTCCCTTCAGTTTCAACCCTGTCTTACTCAATGCCAGCTGCTGCAACAAAGCCCCATCAACTGAGTGCTTTATAGACTAGGGGAACTTTCACAGTTCTGGAGGTGGGACGTTCTAGCTGGAGGTGGCAGCGTGGTTGAGTGCTGGTGAAAGCTCCTTTCTGGGTCACGAACTCTCGTCTTGCGTCTTCACATGAAGGTGAGAGAGCTCTCTGCAGACCCTCTCACAGTGACTCGTCTCACTCACAGGGTCTCTACCCTCATGACCCCACACCTTCTGAAGACCCTACCACCTTACATGGCCACCGTGGAGGATAGCATTTCAACATGAACTTGGGGGGCACACAAACACTGTGTCCATACTACTCCCACAGCCCAGTGATGGAGGATTGTCAAACCATAAAGGGTAGTGTCTCTGAAAAAGACACTCTTTGGCTGCCATCCAAAGCATTCAACCTTGTGGGTGTCTTCCTCCAGGCCCAGTGACACAAACAGGAAGCCAGGGCTCCGTACATCAAAGAGGCACAGGTGACAGAGGGTTCAGGCACTTCCAGGGGAGCTTTCCTCAGATGCTCTCCTCATCTGTCGCCTCCCAGCCCAGACAGGAAGGTGCGGGCGGGAACACCCACACATTTGACGTGGGCCATGCAAGAACGGGAGACTGTGGTGTCCCTGGCAAAAACGCTCATGTTTTTTAACTTTGGGCTTTTTCTTCCTGCTAGGTGGGTTGTGGGTTTTTTTTTTTTTTTTTTGAGTTTAATAAATTTATTCTACCATTGAGGCAGTGAGAGACCATATCTAATTTCCATGTCATTGTAAGAAAAACTAAGCCAGAGTCAGGCTCAGATTCTGGAGTGTTGATTGGCCCAATGCTGCTTGTCCAGAAAGAGTATAAAAGGAATACAGCCATCAGTTAGCATATTATTTTTACTCTCAAACATTTAAAAACAGTGATGTTAGGTACTGATGAATTCCACAGTGTAGATAAAGTGAGTGCCATCTCACTGCTGCTTCCTACCTCTTTACTGAGTCAGAAGGAATATGCAGTCTACGGCCATACCACCCTGAACGCGCCCGATCTCGTCTGATCTCGGAAGCTAAGCAGGGTCGGGCCTGGTTAGTACTTGGATGGGAGAAGGAATATGCAAAGCCTCAAAGAGAGCTTTTTTTTAATTCATCTGTTATTTGTAGACTTCAGGCTTCCAAATGTTGTCTGGAAAAATCTAGTGACTTCCAGTTAAGAAAAAAAAGCAAATATTGAACTGCAGTCATCTGGGCTACTTTGCTTTTGTTGCATGACCAGGCTCTCCTGGAATTCTCCAATGGCTTTTGTCACTTCTCAGATGTTTTCCAGCCCTGAAGAATCCATTGTTACTGGAGGGAGAAGCCATGGAATTTCCCAGTCGCCTTCATCTGAGTGAGAAGTTCACTGAAACACAGTCTTCCTTCTCCATTTGATCCCAAACTGTCCCCTCATCTTTGCAAACAGCACAGAGATTATTTCAGGTTAGGCTACAAGGACCTTGGAGGGGGGTTATTTGAAGTTTAGTCCCTGCTTTTTTGCAGATGGGGAAGCTGAAACGCTAACTTAAGTGAATGAGAGGTAATCAGAGACAAACCAAGCTTAAATCCTGTTCTGTTCCTTTCTTAGCTATGGGCCATTGGAATGTTAACTTAGCCCCATCTTCTTATCTCTGGAATGAGGCTAGTCATGCCTGTGATACCAAGAATCTAATCAGAGGATATCCATAAAATAGTTAGCACAGTACTCAGCCCATCATAAGGGTTCAACCAATGATATCCATCCATCTATTTATCTGCCATCATCATCACCACTATTGTCATCCTTATTATTGTCAGCTGCAACTTCTTGGTAATAAGGCTGGAAGAAGCCATGTCTCTCTCTCCCAGTTTGGCCTTTGTTCCAACCATATACATGAACACCAACATGTAACCTACAGCCTTGGCTGCCTTCCCCAGAAGCTGAGCTTTGTTGATAGGTCACGGCCTCTCCTGACTCAGCCTGAGATAACCTTGCCTTTAATCTGTAGAAGCTTTCTGGACCTTGTGAGGTCATGATACCTGACATTCCAGTTGTCTTCTGTTTCTTGCTAAGGTTCTAATACTAGGCAGTGAGTGAAGGCACCAGATTTCTTCAGGGAAAGGAAGCGAGTCCCAGTCTGGCTAGAGCAGCTCTCCCTGGAATGGGAACCTGAGCCCTTCCAATGGGAAACAGGACATGAGAAAGGGAGCAGTTCTCTCTTACACTGGAGGAGTTCCCTGGGGAGTCCCCAGCTCATAGGCATGCATGTGCTAGTAGAGGCTAGTGTCATGGGAAAG